GCCTAAGACAAACAGCGGGCAGGGGTGAGATGGCCGAAGTGTGGTGGAACAGTGGGGTGGCAGACAGGCGCTTCTCAAGCCTGCGCCAGGCCAGGCCCCAGCTCAAAGGTCTGTTTATTTTTTCAACCGTTTGAGCCGAGACCCTGGAGTAAAGCCAAGGGGGGCGGGAGAGGTTTTCTGAAACCACGGAAATTTGGTTCCACCCTAAAAAGGAAAGACATGGGGGAGTGTGTGGGGGCGGACCTGGATAGGGGGTGTCAAGAGGGGTCCCAGGAGGCTAGATACTGGGGTTCGTTTCTATTATTGGGGGGAGTTGGGAGGCAGGACACCTGGGAGCTCATGACCTGTGTTTTTGGTGGTGGGGATTTAAGGGCGGGAGTCAGAAGCCTGCCTCTTTTTCCTGCCCTGAGGTTGGGGGAGAATCTGGGAGTCCGGCGGGGGGTGGGGGGTGGTAGAGGGTAGATCTGAGAGGGCAGGGAGCCCACAGGGGAGGCTGGTTGTCAGTTTGGGCTGGTCGGAAGGGGAGGGCCACCTCCGGAAAGCTGTGGTTACAGAAGGGGGGCATTGGTTCTTAGCCAACAAACCCTGGATCCCCTCTTCCCCCCTCCCCCAAGCACACCAGCTGTCTCTTTTCTTTTTATACTGTGGTGGAAAGTAGAGGGGGGCTTGCGGGAAATGAGATTATTTGAGGAAGATGGTCTCCCCTGCTATCTACTTGGGAGGACGGGTCAGAGCTAAGTCCTCACACCTCAGGGCCCCCCCACCCCCATTCCTTACCTTTCTCTCTAGGGCCGCTTATAAAAGGAGGAATTTAGGTGTAACCTGCCCCCCTTGCCTTTCCCACTCCCCTAGGGTCTTTCTCTGTAGCCCCCCTCCCCACCCCCGCCATGCTTCCTTTTTCTTTTTACTCCATTTCTGTTCTTCCAGGCCGTCTTCAGTTCTCCACCCCCTAAATTCTCTCTGCTCTACTTCCTAGCTCCACAGGCCTCAAACCCCACAGGTCCCCTTTCTCTCTTTAGCCCCCTGTTCCCCCTCCCCCCTCTCCCAACCCTCACCTTCATCAAGCCCAGAACAAAGCCTCCTTTTCTGCCCAGCGCTGAGCAAGGGCCAGAGAACTAGGGATGGCTCTGGAGGCGGGGGGTTCCCTTGGAATCTCGGGGACCCCAGCATTGGAGCGTGTGGTGGGCAGGTGGAGTCGGGAGAGAGGAGAGACACTATTTCTTTGTTCTGAGGAATGGAGAGGTGGCTGGCTTTGTGTGCAGGACTAGGAGTGCAGCTGAGAGGAGGGCTGGTGGGCCCAGGAGGGAGCTGGGAGGGCTGGCCTTTTTAGAGGGGCGTTGAGGAATTGGGGTTTCCCCGGGAGGCTGAGGCTTTTGGGGACATAAGAAAAGCTTCTAGGGGTCATGAAGGTTAGGGAAAGAGCTGAGGGGGAGGGGAGAAGCGTGGCTGGGGGAGGGAACAGACAGCTTAGGGAAGTCACTGGGTGGCGGCAGGGGGTTTGGATGCTGTCTGAAGACCTGCTGTGTCAACCAGCAAATTTAAAGAAAGAGGGGTTCTGATCTCACTGTCTGCGGCTTCCCTAGAGTAGTGACCTTGGAATCAGAGGGGACAGACTTGAATATGCATGAATGTCATACATGCATGTGATACGTGTGCGTTTGCTTTCCTGCCAATGTCGCTCTGGGTTACTGTTTTGATCTGTGGTCACCGAAGGAGGGGGCTCAAGCTCTGGACACGAGGAAGTAGTTTCATCCTGAGCTTCATAGCTTCAGCCTTTGGTTTGAAGTACTGAGCAGGAGCTGAGTGAGCGGATTGCTCGGGGCTCCTGTGCTCGGGGCTCCTGGAGCTCGTAAGAGAAATGGCTGCAAGGAGCTGCCTGGACACTTCTGGGTTTGTTTATGTCTCCTTGGGGGGTGGGGCTGCAGGCAGCAGCTGCCCCCCTCCCAACCCAGCCGGCCTGCCCTGTGCCAGGAGGGCAGGGAGTCCTGGCATAGCTATTGTTCGCCTGCACAAATGCCCGTCTGTTTGTATTGCACCCCCCTCCCTCTCTGCTTGCCTGTCTCTCCTGGCCCCGACAGGTGTGGCTGGGTGGGGGGCAGGCTGGGGTCCAGGATGCCTGGTTCTCAGGGGCCCTACCCGTCCTAGCCTGGTTTAATTCCCTGTGGTCCTCAGAGCCCCTCGTCTGCTTCAGCAGCGTGCCCACCCCCACTGCCCGCTGTCTCATCTTCATTCATTAACAAGCATTTATTAAGTGCCTTTGTGTGTTTGGTAGTGTCTTTCTGCATTATATTTCTGGCTGTGGGGTTAGTGTTTCCGTCTGGCTGCCTTCCCCTCAGCCTCCTGCCGTTATCTTATCCCTAGAAGCTCATGAAGGGGCAGGGCCTGGCTGACACCATCCCCGGCCCTCTCCTCAGCCCCATGGCCAGGAACCATCTCCCTCCACATTTCCCAGCCCCACAGCTCATCCTTCATGACTTAGTGCCCTTCCCAGCCCGTGACTCGCCACCCCTGCTGCCCAGGGGCTGAGCCACAGGTGACTGGAACCCCAGCAGAACCCTCCAGAGGTCAGCCAGGGCCCCGTCCTCTGACTTCAACCTGGTTGGTCACCATCCAGAGGGGCTGGAGACAGGCCTCACCATCTTGGGGAAGGAGTTAATTCCAGTTGTAGCTGGAGCAGAGGCAATTCTGAGTACCATGTGAATTTCCCAGGGGACTTGGTTTGGACATACTTTGATGGAGGTGCCAGAGCAGCTGAGGGCTCAGGCCTTGCTTCCAGAAGCTCTAACTCTCCTGAGTAGGCTTTGCCAGCCACCACTGCCCACTGGGAAGCGCAAGAAGCCAAAGTCCTGGCCTTGGCATCGCCTTGTCCTTCACGTACGTCATTGTTTTCATCTCTCAGCCTGGGAGAGAAGGTGGAAGGACCATCTCTGGCTTGGAGCTTTTGAGCAGTCACCCATGATGCCTTCTTGCTATTCTCTCAGTCTTTCTTTCCCAAAAGTGACTGAGATTCAGGATGACAGTGGAAGGAGGGTTTGGCTCGGCCTTTTTCTGACCTCCAGAGGAAACCCCCAGGGTCTATGCTCTAAGGAATTAGGAGAGAGGGGCTGGGAACCCTTCAGATAGAGGAAGAAAAGGAGAAACAAGAAGAGACTGAAGTCTCTGAAACTCTGACAAGGACTGAGGGGATACCTAGAGCAAGGGCAGTGGTATTGCCAGGACCCATGTCTTGGTGTCTGTCCATCCAGCCATCCATCCGTTCTTCCTCCCTTCATTTCAAAACATGTATTGAGTGCCTATTGTATACAGGTGCTGTGCTGGCCGCTCTCACATGCTTTATTTCACTTAATCTTTGATGTAGCGGTGGTGTAGATGAAGGGTGTGTAGCAAGAAATACTTTCCATGAGGGTTTATGAGAAAAAGAGACAGAATGACTGTAGGTGCTGGACGGCAGAGGACTGAAACAAGCAGGAAGGGCCTCTGAGTGTTGGAGGTGGGGGTTGTCGATGGTGGCGTCATGGGCACTTTCTGGGAGGCCAGATTAGGGCGCAGTGGAGAAGGACTGTCCTGGTAGGTGGGTGAGTGGGGAACAGATGTGACTATCTTAAGACTACCTGAAAAAGAGGAGGACAAAGATCCAAACCAGCTAGTCACACCATCTCTGGAGCAGGCGCCCCTGGTAAGTAGGCCCACGTCTTTCCAGCCTCTGCAGCCCGAGCTCTGGGGCGGGCATAGGCTGCCTCCCAGACAATAGCGCTAGGCAGTGCCAGGGCCGCTGGCTGCCGGGCAGTGCCCGTGCTGGGATGTGCTGCTGTTGTGGTTGCTGTCCACTGCTGGCCCACCTGGAGAGGGTGAGTGTCAGGAGGTGGAGGAGGCAGGGACCAGAGTACCTGGGTTGTCACTTGGTGGGGCATCAGTGCCAGAGGGGAAGGGCCACTAGAGGGCCTGTCCTCTGGCTTCCCTGCTCTCTCCCTCCCTTTCCTCACTCCCCTCAGAGCTGGCTGGGCAGGTGAGTGGCCCTGGAGGCCTGAGGGAGGAGGGCTGGGGGTGAGGCAGGGTGACGAAGGGGGCATTCTAACAGCATTAGGCAGATCTGCAGATCGGGAGCTGACCCTGATCCAGACAGATGCTGTTCTTTTTATTATGGCCGTGTTTGTTTTTATTTCAAACGTAATAAGTGCTCAGATTTTGTGTCATGGAGAAGGCTGGGGGGGCAGGAGAGAGGGGAGCACATGTGGCAGTGACGGGATCCTTGGGCTTGGTCTTTGAGGTCTATAGAGTTATTATTCAGAGGAGAGGATTTGACCTTCTAAATAAAGAACTATAATTTGGAGCGAGATAAATGAAGAATTTTCTAGTGGCCCAGGTCGGTAGGTAGAAGAGGGAGGCTGGAACGTTAGGTTCAGGTCAGCTTCTTCAACGGGCCTAGGTGGAGCGGAGCTGGCCTGCACCTGTGGAGGGTGGGGTGGGGCAGTGAGGGCCCAGAGGGGGATCATGAGATAAGAAGGAAGGACATGGGAAGGAGACCAGGAAATAGGAAGAGAAGGAAGAAAGACGAGGAGAGGAGAAAAGAAAAATAGATGCTGGAGGGAGAGTGAGGAGAGAAGAGAAAGGAACAACCTCAACTCTGAGCATGCTCATCACCACCAGGCAAATCTGGAGCCTCTGAGGACAAGCCAGAGAGAAGGCTCTTGGGCCACCAGGAAGCCAGGAGACTGTAGGACACTGAGGCCCAGTGCCCTCTGGTCCCTGCACTGCTGACTCAGCCCCTCCACACTTCCCTTTTCTGCCCTGAACACTGGCCAGTGCAGCTCTTCCCCTCCCCCACCTCTTACCCACTAGGGTTGCGGGGGTAGCTGGAGCTGTGAGTTAGGACATGTCTCCTGAGGTCCAGGCCAAAGGCTCTCCACTGAGTTCTGAGTCTTCTGTCCAGGGCCCCAGCCAGTGTTCCTCAGCAGTGCAGATCCTGCTGTTTGATTCCTGAGAGGCAAGGAAACCTTGGAAGGAATGGTCTTGTCAGCTCCTTTTCCCACCTCCATCCTCCAAAAGTAGAGGAAAAATCCAGGTTCTGGAAGGGGTGGGAAGAATGGTACCCCCCTCTTCCCACCTTCTCAGGCTTAGAGAGGACAGCAGAGGTCAGGGGGAGTGACTTGCAGAGGCCAGGGGAAGCAGGAAGAGGAGAACGCTGAGGAGGAAGGTGTCAGCATCAGCGGTTCTGAGGAAGGATACATGCTCCGTCTGTCTGTCTGTACGGAGAACAAAGCCAAAAGGACTGACATTGCAGCTGGAGAATGGAGGGTAGATGTCAGGAAGGACTTCCTAGGATGTGGAGACTGGGCGAGGAATGGCGGGAGTGCTCGGAAGTTTCAATGTTTCTGTGGAGGGCAGCCTGCGAGGGGAGCGACTGACATCAGAGAGGGAGAGAAGTCACTTCCTGCTGGGAACAACCAAGATGACTGAACCCAGAGAGTGGGAGTAACCCGAGGACAAAACTAGGCTCCTCTCGCTTTGAGGTTAGTGGGGGACATGCTGCCTCCCAGAGAGAGGTTTCCATTGGCTGATGTTTGTGGAAGAAGTAGAGGTTTGGGTCGCTGACCGGGCCTGGGGGATGCCGTGGAGGCGTCCTGCCCCCTTCAGCCAATCTAATAAGGGGAACTCGTGCCCCTCCAGCCCAGCCCCTCCCCCAGTGTGACTGCCAGAGAGACAGCGGCTCCAACTGGTTGTCATGGTTATGAGAGGAGCTAACTCCCATAGATTGGAAAACGCTGGTGAGCTGGCACCCTCTGCTTCGCCTGCTCTCCCCTCCTCTCTGCGCATCTTCCCCCTGGTACAGAGAAGAGAGCAGCTCGGGGGCGAGCGGAGCTAGGGCTGGGAGGTGGAGTGAGGACGCCGAGGTCTAGAGCCAGGGAGATGAGCGGCACTAGGAGGCAGCCCAGCCGCAGGGGCCAGGTAGGTCAGGGACCCTGAGCCCGGCCTGGCCACGTCTGCTCCGACACCCTGCAGCAGGTGCCGCTGAAGGCACTGCTCCCTTGCCTCTGCACTCAGCCTGTCTCTCTGGGCTCCTCGGTTACCCTGGCATCTTCCAGCCTCACTTCCTGTCTGTCTTGCCCCTTCCACAGACCCGGGAGAAGGAGAGGATGAAGGAAGCCAAGGATGCCCGCTATACCAACGGGCACCTCTTCACCACCATCTCGGTTTCGGGCATGACCCTGTGCTATGCCTGCAACAAGAGCATCACAGCCAAGGAGGCCCTCATCTGCCCCAGTGAGTGGTTCGCGCTCCGGAGTGTCACTCTGGCTCGCTGCCCACTGACCCTGATCGTCCCCCCGGCCTTTCTGCCCGGGATCCATAGCCTCCCTGAGCCCCAGCCGGGCCCCAGTGCCACGGCCAGATGCTCCCCCTCCTCCTGCTGAGGGGTGGTGGCTGTTGGAATATGGCAGAAGAGGGTGGCATAGGCAGGAAGGACTTTCTGGGAATATGGGGGAGGGGAGGGTGGGATGACTCTCCTTGCGGCTGTTGTCCCCTGGGTACTCCCCTGGCTCCCAGGACAGCTGCCGGGGGGGGGGGGGGGGGGGGGGGGCGGGGGTTAGGGGCACTGCTTGGAGAAGGAGCGGGAATGTTGTGTGTGAGTGTGTGTGTGTGTGTGTGTGAGTGTGTGTGTGTGTGTGTGTGTGTGTGTGTGTGTGTGTAGGGGGGCAAGCCAGCGGAAAGCTACCAGCCTTGCAGCTGGTTCTGCCCACCTTCCTGGCCAGAACTGGACGTTTGGGATTTCAGGGTCCCCTTGCCCCTTCCTTTCTAGTGATTGAGATGGCGCCTGAAATCTCTGCTGTTTGAAGCAGAGCATGGGATTAGGACCCTCTGTCTCAAATTTGGCGAGAAGGAGGACTGCCTCAGGAGTGTGTGTGTCTGTGTGTGTTGGGGTGGGGAGGGGTAGACTCCTGACCTTTACGTTCACGTCTGAGGGGAGCCCTATGTTTAAGTAATATGAGCAGGCAATTCCTAGAGATGCCTGTACCGGGGCTCTAGCCCCGCAGCCCCTCCTGAATGTACGGCAGAGATGCTTGTGATAGAGCAGGATGGAAGTCGTGTGACCTGCTGCTGAGCAGCGGGACAAGAGCTCCAGCCTCTAAATCCCTGCGGAACTTGGGGAAGGAGCCCCAGAAGGAGCCAGTGAGGCCTCCCTACTTACTGCTCAGTGTCGACTTATGAGGATGAGGAGGGGAACCCCAATCTCGGTCCCTCTAGAGACCTGACAGAATTCCCAACCCGGAAGCTTGTTGCCAGGGGAACAGGGTAGGTGGGCAGCGCTATTTTGAGAGCCAGTGGAAAGCGGAGGTTCGATCCAGAGACACTGGCTGGTGGGGATAGAGAAGGGAGCTCCGAGGGGGTGGCAGCAGCCCCAGCCCCCATTTCTGTCTGCCCCCCTCTGCCCCACCCTGCTTGCCTTGTATTTGTGGAAGTGAGCGTGGTGCTGGGTATTGTCTGAAGGAGTCAGCAGAGTTTCCGGTGTTGCGGGATGGGGGAGGGGAAGCTGGAGAGGGCCTAGGGCTGAGGGCATGTCTGGGAAGGGGACAGCCTCTGGTCTCAGCACGTAGGCTTGACTGCTCCTTCTTCCCTCTCTCCTACCCCATGGCAAGGCAGGGTGGGGCGTGGGGGAGAAGCAGATGGAGTGTGGGAGCTGTGGGTTGGCCCGAGTTGGGGAACAGGACTTCTGGGCCTGGAAGGGAGAAGGCAGAGTGGCTGGAGTGTGGCAGGCAGAGCGGAGCAGTGCAGTGCAGACAGAGGCAGGCAGGCTCCTAGGGGCAGGGCCTGGGCCTCCCTGCTCTGCCGCTGGATCCGTCAGCCTTTGAGCTGCTTCGACTGAGCCAGAAATCAAGGGCATGTTGTGTGGAGCAGTGGAAGGAGCATGGTCTTTGGGTTCAGGCAGGCCTGCGTTCAGATCCCAACTTGACCACTAGCTGTGTGGTCTCTGGCAGCTGACTTAGCCTCTTCAGGACAGGCTCCTCTTCTGTAAGGGGGATAATCGAATCTACCTCACAGGGTGTTAGGGTTAAATAAATGCAGAACATTTACTAGTGCTCAGGAAACGTCCATTTCCCCCTCTCTGCCCCTTGCCTCATCCCAGCTGCCCCGCGCCACCTTCTGTTCTGTGCGGGTTCTCTCTGCCATCTGCCATTCTCAACCACTGTGTGCTTCTTGAAGCCGTCTCTGGCAGCCTTAACTCCTTCTTGCCTCCAGCCCATCCATCCCTCCAAGCATCTTTGGGTCAGGATTGCCCACCCCTCCTGATTGGTTAACTGTGTTCAGCACCTGTACCCCTTCTTGCTTCATTTTGTGCTTGGAGGAAGGGGGAGGTGGGAAGAGGAAGAACTGGGGTGTGGTAATGGCCAAGAAGCCTGGGAAGGGGGGAGCAGGGAGTCTCTGAGGACTGTGTGGCCAGGGGGAGATGGGTGTCTGCATGTGGGTGTGTCCCCTCCTGTACCACCCGGCCCTCCCTTCACCCTCTCTACCCCACCCTCCCAGCCTGCAATGTGACTATCCACAACCGCTGTAAAGACACCCTCGCCAACTGCACCAAGGTCAAGCAGAAGGTGAGACGGCAGGGAGGGCAGAGGGCTGCGGGAGAGGGTAGTTAGTGTGCGGTACCCACAAGCCTTTTCCATTCGTTCCCTACCCTGTGTTCCTCAACCTCTGTCCCCACAGATGGGGCAGCCCGGACCCCCAACCCCAGGCCCCAGGCCCCTCGAGGGCCAGGCCTACTGCTGTAGACTCATCCCCCCAGCACAGGGCTCAGCTACCCTGACGCCCTTAACCTCAGCGCCAGCTTTCTCCCAGTGGGGCCAGGTGTCCAGCTTCAGCACCTGCCCTGTGCCTATGCGGTGACCCTCCGGTGACAGCTGTGCCTGATATTTCTCTTGCTCTCTGTCTCACAGCAACAGAAAGCTGCCCTGACGAAGAACAACACCGCCTTGCAGTCAGTTTCGCTTCGCTGTAAGAGTGAGTAGCAGGGGAGGGGAGGAGCCCCTAGGGAATCCAGGACCCCAGGCCACTCAGCCCATAGCCTCTGCTGCCCCCATGAGGCCGTTCCCAGGCACAACACCTTCTGTCTTTGTGGAGGTGGGGGGCCTTAAGGGATGGTCCAGACTCGCTGAGAGGCAGGACAGCAGAGTCCACGTGGGCCTGAGGGCTTGAGGCAGCTGCTCATCTGGGCCCCGCCAGTTTGTGCATATTATTATCAGTTATTCACATTGCATTCTGGGAGTGTTGGCAGCAGCTGTTAAGTGCCCTTTCAGCTTTGGTGTAACAGAAAGCACAAAAAGACCAGAGTCCCAGGCCCTGCCAGCCATTAGCCGAGTCACCCTGCCCAAGTTCTTAATCTTTATGAGCTTCAGTTTGCTCGCAGGCTTGCTGTGGGGGCAGAGATGAGATAAGTAAAGGCTCTTTGTAAACATTGTAAGGATTGCACAAATGTAAGGTGGTTTTCTAGTTATTGTTAGCATCTTTTTCCCACCATGGAGGGGGACTGCAGGTGGGAGAGGATGCCTCCTTTCCTGTCAGGGAGCTGGGGAGGCCCGAGTTCTGGGAAGGCACCAGCGTTTGGTGTTAGCCTGCTCACTATCTCTTCATGACCCCTTCTCTACAGCAACAACCCGGGAGCGGCCCACCTCTGCCATCTACCCCTCGGACAGCTTCCGGCAGTCCCTCCTGGGCTCCCGCCGCGGCCGCTCCTCCTTGTCTTTATCCAAGAGTGTTTCTACCACCAACATTGCTGGGTGAGCCTCACTTTGGGGAAGGGGGAGCCTCAGCTTGGGGAAGGGGAAGCCAGGCAGGCAGAGAGTGTGGCAATAAGACCAGGGGGCTGAGAGGTCCTTTTCCATCCCTGAGTTCAGAATTGGAGACAGACAGGTGAGGAGAACTTCGGGTGACTCCCTTTCAGAGCCTGGCCTCGGTCTCCCACCTGGGAAGGGGTCTCCTGCCCAGGTGGGGGTGATGCAGACTGCCTCCACCTCCCTCAGACACTTCAATGATGAGTCCTCCCTGGGCCTGCGCCGGATCCTCTCACAGTCCACAGACTCCCTCAACATGCGTAACAGAACCTTATCGGTGGAGTCCCTCATTGACGAAGGTGAGTGTGTCCAGGCCCAGGGGTGAGGGCTGGGGAAGAGTGGTTGGTGGGGGCGAGCCTGGAAAGGGGTTTGGAGAATGACCCGGGACCCAGGGAAGAGAGTGTGCTCTGAGTTGCTGCTCCCCTCAATGTCCAGGTGCAGAGGTGATTTACAACGAGCTGATGAGTGACTTTGAGATGGATGAGAAGGACTTTGCGGCCGACTCATGGAGCCTGGCTGTGGACAGCAGCTTCCTGCAGCAGCACAAGAAGGAGGTGATGAAGCAGCAGGATGTCATCTATGGTGAGCCGAGAAGCCCACCTCCAGCACCCTCTCTCTTCCTTCACCAGGTCCTCATTACCTGTGTCCTTTCTTCTGTCAGGCCCCACCTCTCAGGACCCCTTCCCTCACATCCCATTGGCCCCGAAACCCTGCCTGGCCCCCACCAGTTGCCCACTGGGCCCCCACCTCTTGGGGCTGTTGGTCTGCAAGGCCCTGTCTTTGTCCCTTCCTTCAGTTCAATTCTCACTCTTCAGTCTGTGCCTGTTCCATGCCCAACACCATGCTGGGGGCTGGGGGAAACCTAGATATGTAGAGGACACATGGTTCTGGCCCTAAAATAGCTTACAGCACGCAATGGCAAGACAGAAGGAAAAGAAATGATTAGGTGATGACCTAAGATAATAATAGTGGCGAATGTTTACCCAGAAGGGACCTTGGAAACCTCATGTGGGTCCCCGCCGGGGTGGCCAAGCCAGGGTAGAGGCCAAATGTCCCATTGCCACACAGAGCTAATCCAGACAGAGCTCCACCACGTACGGACGCTGAAGATCATGACCCGCCTCTTCCGCACGGGGATGCTGGAAGAGCTGCAGCTGGAGCCAGGCGTGGTGCAGGGCCTGTTCCCCTGCGTGGACGAGCTCAGCGACATCCACACACGCTTCCTCAGCCAGCTGTTAGAACGCCGACGGCAGGCTCTGTGCCCTGGCAGCACCCGGAACTTCGTCATCCATCATTTGGGAGACCTGCTCATCAGTCAGGTGGGAAAGGCCAGGACTCTGCGGTGGTGATGTTCAGGGAAGGATGTGTGACTGGAGTGGGCATTTTCTGCCTCTAGGGGGTGGTAGAGAGCCAAGGAGCGCTGGAGAGGCAGGAAGCAAGACAGCTAGGCAGGAGGCCAGAGGTGTGTCCAGGGAATAGGGTGTGGCTTCGGGGGATCTGCTAACCCAGCCTTGCTTCCCCAACTTCTAGTTCTCAGGCCCCAGCGCAGAGCAGATGCGTAAAACCTATTCGGAGTTCTGCAGCCGCCACACCAAGGCCGTAAAGCTCTATAAGGAGCTGTACGCACGAGACAAACGCTTCCAGCAGTTCATTCGGGTGAGCAAACCTCTGGGACTACTCCTCTGGCCCACGCGCAGCCTCCCCATTCTGGGGCGTTGCACTGGGCTGCACCCACATGGAGGTCAGAGATTCGGTTTAAAAGTTCACCGGCCCTGGTGGACCCACCCGCGCGCGATCATGTCACAACAGCACCTCGTACTGGTGGAGACTTCATGGTAGATGCCCCCTGCTTTCATGACCTTGTGTTGGTTGGTCTCACCACAAACCTGGGGCAGTGTTGTCCCCATTGTTCAGATGCAATCACCGAGACCGGCGTGAGGTAGCTGGCCACGGCAGGGCTGGCACAGAGTTGGGGCACTAAGTCCAGTGCTCTTTCTCTTGCCCGGGCCCCTCTCGCCCTGAGCCCTGCCTCTTCCCTTGCAGAAGGTGACCCGCTCGGCCGTGCTGAAGCGGCATGGGGTCCAGGAATGCATCCTGCTGGTAACTCAGCGCATCACCAAGTACCCGGTGCTCATCAACCGGATCCTGCAGCACTCCCACGGTGAGTGGGAGGATGCAGAGAGGGAGGAGGCTGTCTGGGGCAAGGAAAAGCTCCAGCTGACCAAGGGAAGGGGTAGGGTCAGCCTGGGGTAGTGTGGGCGGCCTCCAGAGGCATGATGGGAATTGGGGTTTGGAACGAAGCTGGCTGAGCCTCCCCCACCCGACGCCCCGGTGCCAGGAATTGAGGAGGAGCGCCAGGACCTGACAGTGGCACTGGGGCTGGTGAAGGAGTTGCTGTCCAACGTGGACCAGGATGTGCACGAGCTGGAGAAGGAGGCCCGCCTGCAGGAGGTCTACAACCGCATGGATCCCCGTGCCCAGACCCCGGTGCCTGGCAAGGGCCCCTTCGTCCGAGAGGAGCTTCTGCGGCGTAAGCTCCTCCATGACGGCTGCCTGCTCTGGAAGACAGCGACCGGGCGCTTCAAAGGTCAGTGGTCTGCGGGGCCGGCCAGCAGGTGTTCCCAGTCAGATATGGAGACGGGGAAGCATCCGGCTCTATGACCGCTTTTTCTGCAGCCTTACGCCCAGGGTGATACCCGGAGGGAGGAAAGAACCGTGGTCTCTGTTGCAGCAGAGGTCTGAATTCTGGATTAAATTTATGGACCATACCAAAAAGCCAGCCGCCGTGGAGTCGCTTCTGACTCCTGGCCACCCCATGTGTGTCAGAGTAGAACTGTGCTCCGTAGGGTTTCCAGTGGCTGGTTTTTCAGGGGCAGATTGCCAGGCCTCTTTTCCGAGGCACTCCGGGTGGACTTGAACTGCCAACCTTTCAGTTAGCAGTGACCGCGTGAATCGTTTGCACCACCCATGGACTCCACCAGGGACTTCATTATCAGTATGCATTCATCTCTTTGGTCCTTGCATCCCCAGTTTGATGAGGGAGCCGAAGAAAGTCCTAAAGCAGAGGACAGGGTCGGGGTGGTTGATTCCACCAGCTGGAATCCCAGCTAGCTGGGCTGGGGACCCAGCAGGAGCTTTGGGAGTGCAGCTGGGGCAAGCCCAGAGAAGGGCCAGAACCCAGGGTCCCCCAGGTAGGGCAGAAAAGAGAACAGAGAGGGGTGTTGGGGTGGGACCACACTTTCTCAGGCCCTCTTCCCAGAATTTGTCTGCGCTGGCGAAGTCTTTCCTATCTAAATCAAGGCAGGAGAAGAGCAGGCCTCAGCTGTGGAGTAAAGAGTGAGGGACAAAAGTAAACAGATAATGTGAGGCCACTGTCAGCCTGAGCCTCTGTCCCCCTGTCATGACAACCCCAATCCACAGGCTGGGATATTGTCAGTCTTCACCAGCCTCTCTCCTTCATCCCTTTCTCTCCTTCCCATCCCTCCCACGCAGCAGCTAAGAATATAAACCATGGGGGGTTAAAAATAGCAAGACTGGAGAGCTTGATTTCTGAAGCATTTAGCAAAGGCCCTCCCGTTCTGTGTGCCCACAGTTTAGCAAGATCTCCAAGGACAAAGGGTGAGCGTGTGTTTTCTTGACTGAGACGTCCAAGTTTTATGGAATTGACCTTTGTTTTCTTTCTCTGTCTTAAAGTGCAGGACTCCACCCCATAGGATGGGAGAGCCCAAGGGGTGGGGAGAGAAAGAAAAGGAAGGAGGGGCCTGGTGGGGCAGGAGGAGAGATGGCTGAGGGAGGGAGGGTCTTTCAGTCCTTTAGAGGAAGGAAACCAACTCTCTCCCTCCCCACCAAGCATAAGGTGAGAAGCAGGAATATGCCGGGGCAGGGGGAATTTAGGGCAGATACCCAAGAGGTCTTAGTTGTTAGATGTGGCGCTTAAAGGTTAAAAAGGGTTGGCCCCTCCTGTTCCGGAAATCCTTTCTGGCTCTCACAAAAATTCTGGACCCTTTCACCTCAAAAAATACACCTGTGTGTTATATTAATACATAAAATCAATTATGCAACTTTAGAGGGCTTACAGAGCCCTTGAAGCCCAGCGGTGGATGAGGTCTCGACTCCAGGTTAAGAAACCACCATTAGTAGACAAGGGAAGGTTTTTCAAAAGGCATTCAGTGATCCCTTGAGGCCCCTTCTGGCCTTAAAAAGCTGCTTTACCTGATAACACATGGACCCCCGCCCCCCGCCCTCATTTCTGAGCTGGAAGAACGAGGAGTTGGGAGGTCTGAAAAGCTGGAGGAAGCAATCGGAGGGCAGAGAGGACTCCGGAGCGCTAACCTGCTGGGCTGGGTAGCCTGGTCTCTAAGACGGAAACACAGCTGCTCAGACTCTAGTGCCGACTCTTCCCACCTTTGTCTGCCTGCCAGATGTGCTGATGCTGCTGATGACAGATGTGCTAGTGTTTCTCCAGGAGAAGGACCAGAAGTACATCTTCCCTACCGTGGTGAGACCCTCCCTACTTTTCCTTTCCTTCTCCACAGTCCAGTGTTTCCGGCGCGTCTTGCTTTCCTACCCAAGCTCTAGAGTCCTTCAAAGTCAAATAACCATTGTTGTAACTGTCACTACAATGTGATCATGCGTAGGAAGAGTAGCTAACAAGTACTGGGACCGTGTGCAGGCGCTGTTACATCTGGGATGAAGGTGTATTATTATCATCTTCATTTCCTACATGCAGAAAGTAAAACTTAAAGTTAGTTAAATAATTTGTCAAGGGTCACGCACGTTTCTAAGTCTTCTCTGGCTGCCTCCAAAGCCTAGGCTCTGAACTCGTATCTTAGGTTGACTTTCCAACGCTTTGGGCTTTCCAGAAGGCTTGAAGACCCAAATATCCAAGAGTCGGGATTCCCAGGCTTAATCCTTCCTTTCCCCTGACTAGCAAGACAAGCCCTCCGTGATCTCACTGCAGCAGCTACTTGTACGGCACATCGCGAGCCAGGAGAAAGGGATGTTTCTGATCAGCGGATCCCCCCCTGTGATGTATGAGGTCCACACAGCATCCTGTGACGACCGGGACACCTGGATCCGCCTCATTCAGCAGAGTGTATGCGTGTGAGTATGTGCCTGCTGTCTGTCGGTGGGTGGGACCTGAGGGTATCTGCAGCATCAAGTCCTAGGCCGCTGCGCTCCCTGTGAACAGTACGCAGCATTCAGAGGTGAGGGCAGAGGCTGGGGCAGAGATGAGGTGGTTCGCAGCAGGAAATGTCATCTATGTTCATATTTTATATACTGACAACCTCGACTACCTTTCAAATGCAGCAGGAGCTGACAAGCAAAGGAATATTTTGAGCTGTGACATGATGGCATGCCCGCCAGCCAACAGTAGTTTCAGCCAATTAACATCTCGGTCTATGGGCAAACCCCAAAAACCCCCTGCCGTCAAGTTGATCCTGACTCATAGCAACCCTGCAGGACAGGGTAGAACTGCCCCACGGGGTTTCCAAGGCTGTAATCTTCATGGAAGCAGACTGCCACATCTTTCTCCTGCAGAGCGGCTGGTGGGTTCGAACTGCCAGCCTTTTGGTTCACAGCCAAGGACTTAACCTCTGCACCACCAGGGCTCCTTGGTCTGTAGGCAGTGGGCTCTTATTTGGATCGTATTGCATTTTACCTTTATTTTCTAAAAATGAATGAGAAAGAGGATAATGAAAACATTGATACTGGAGATAAGAGAAGCACGTCTCACAAACAGACTTTATACAGTAGAGGCAAGAAGGAAATCATTTGGTGTACTAACGCAGCAAATCTTCAGCACACGTGTGATTTGAGGCAGTCAACTGTATGTCTCATTGTGATGGGAAGAAAAAGCCAAGTAAAGCACATGAAAAGGTTGAAAACGGATTGCTGGAGATGATGCCAAATGAATAAACTCTAATTAGGATTATATTTTTAGCTTTTAGAAAATGGAGTCTCCTCCACTTCATACACTTTATAAGATGTAAAACTTTTTTTTTTTTTTTTAACTTTTGCTGTTTAAACATTGGAATAAATTTTTCAGAAACACATTCAAAAGTACAAAACTGCCTATTCTAGGAAAACAATTTAAAATACTTTTTCACTGACAGTAGATCCACAGTGACCCTCAGTAATAGTATTAATATTTACAATTGTGAAGATGATAACTAAGATCGATAATAGTAATGTATTGAACTTCTGCCATGCGCAAAGTACTATTTCATTTAACCCTAAGAGAAAACTATGAAGAAAATATTATCCCCATTTTTCATATGAAGAAACAGAGAGGTTACCACTTGGTAAAAAGTGGAGCCAGGATTTGAACCCAGTGGTTAAGCGCTTGGCTGCTAACCAAAAGGTTGGCAGGTTCGAGCCCACCAGCCGCTCTGCCGGAGAAAGATGTGGCAGTCTGCTTCCATACAGATTACAGCCTTGGAAACCCCATGGGGCAGGTCCACCCTGTTCTAGAGGGTCGCTGAGTCGGAATTGACTTGATGGCAATGGGTTTGGTTTTGTTTGATGCTAAAGCCTGTCCTCGTCTGTGTTATGTGGCCTCTCCCGATAGCCTTTGGAAAGGTACAGACCAGTGGATGCAGATGATCAGTGCTCAGAAAAGGAGAAGGTCAAGAATGAATGAAGACAAGGCATGGGGCTGAGGAGTCTTACTGGAAGAGGGGTGCATAGAATATATTTGGGAAGGAGAGCAGAACCCCTGGGAAGTTCAGGGGAGGCCGATTCCTGATCTAGCTGCTTCCTCCCAACCTCGCACGACCTGTTATCCCCCCAGGTGCCCGTCCAGGGAGGACTTCCCCCTGATTGAGACAGAGAATGAGGCTTACCTCCGGCGAATCAAGAGTAAGTCTACCCACAGGAAGTTTGTTAAAGGGTCTCTAATACAGCCACATAATGGAAGACTATGCAACTATTAGAAAGAATGAGATGGCTCTTTAGGGACTGATACAGATTCAGACCCAAAATATATTGTTAAGTGCAAAAAGCAAGGTTTCCAACAATGTAAAGTGTATGCTGCCATTTGTGTAAAAATAACAGGGATGGCTATACATACATATGTATTGTGTGTGTGTATGACAGAGGGAGAGAGAGACTAGATACCTAGAAAGATATTATCACTGTGGTTGCCTCTGGGAAGTGGAACGATGAAGACCAGAGGTGGGAGAGTGACTCTTTTACCCTAGGGTCTTGTAGTAGGGTATGATCTAACTGCTATTCAAAAAGACCAACAAAAAAACTGTTGCTTAAACAAGATAGAAGATTGTTTCTCTCCACATTGCAGGATAGCAGTGCAGCTCCCATCTCTAGGTCCAAAGTGGCTACTCCAGCTCCCACTATCACATCTGTATCCCAGTTACCGGGGAGGAGGAGAGGAACAGGGGGATTTATACCATTTCTTTTAAGGGCCCATCTGGAAGACGTTCATATCCATTGGCCAGAATTGAGTCATGTGGCAGTGTATAGCTGCAAGGCAGGCTGGGAAATGTAGTCTTTAACTGGGCAGCCATGTGCCCAGATGAAAATTGTAGGCCTTCTCTAATGAAAGGAAGATGGGGAGAATGAGAACTGGTGGACATCCTGCAATCCCTGCAACAAACCTTTTTTACTTTTTACTTTTGTTTTTAAATCAAAAGTGTATGTGTTCCTTTCCCCCCCAAAAAGATACTTTTT